TACCATGCCCGGCTAATTTTTTATTTATTGTAGAGACGAAGTCTTGCCAAGTTGCCTGGGTGGGTCTCAAACCTGCGGGCTCAGGCAGTCCACTTGCCTTGGCCTCCCAAAGTGCTGGGATTACAGACTGAGCCTCTGAGCCTGGCTGCCTTTTTAAAAAAATTGGATCACGTTTTCTTAGTTACTTTGATACTTTGTGATTCTAGTGAGAGTTTGTTCAAGTAAAAAACAGCTACTTGGCCAGTTTGGTAGCTCAGCCTGTAATCCCAGCACTTTGGAAGGCCGAGATGAGTGGATTGTCTGAATCTGCGGGTTCAAGACCCACCTGGGCAACTTGTCAAGACCTCATCTCTACAATAAATAAAAAATGTACCAGGTGTGGTAGCGTGCGCCTGTAGTTCCAGCGACTTGGAAGGCTGAGGCGGAAAGATCGCCAGATCCCAGCAGGACAAGGCTGCGATGGCCAAGAGTGTGCCACTGCACTCCAGCCTGGGTGACAGAGTGAGACTCCAACTCCAAAAAACCCAATAAACAAAAAAACAGCTATTTATTCTAGCCTTTATGTAACAGCTTTGTACAGGGGAAAACTGACACGATTCATTCATGCTAACCGTTCTGGGAGGATGTGCTGGCACATAATGTCTTTTGTGGACTATTGTGTGTATTTTTTGTTTAAAAGTCCTCAATAACTTTTTTAAAAATTAAGAGCATTTAATTTTTGCTTTTCTTGGTCAATGTCATGGGCACTGGTCTCTCTTTGGTAGTAAGCATTCAACTTTGTTGTCAGAGGGCCCAGCCTGTCATTTCAACTATATCTCAATTGTCTTCATTACTACATATTAAAGGGATCAACATGCCGTCTGTAAATAGCCCCAGAGTAATCTAGAACTTTAGACATGTGTTCCTCTGTTTTCATTTCTTTGTTGCCTGAGAAACAAATAGAAAGTGTAAAGTTCTTTTCTAACTGCAGTGTGGTACTCAAATGTAACAAATATTTTCTTCTATATATGACTGTTCTTCCTTTTGTGATCACCAGGGGTGCTGCAAATTCAACTCTTTGTTCACCCTAATGTATTTAAGTTAATATATTAATAGAGAAAATTGAGGATTTGGGTTCTTGATTTAACTGTCTCAGCTATTGTTTGTTATATTAGATTTATAAAATATGTTCACCTGATTCTAGTAATTAAAATTTTTTGATATCTTTCAGATGCGCATTCTCATTACACACAAGGCCTCTTGACAAAGCATTGTGTAGAAAATGTATTCCAAAAAGCGATACTGAGACAATATGGAAGCTGTGATCTTGATAATTTGCACTTAAGAAGCAACTGGAAAAGTCTGGATAAAGGTAAAATGCAAAACAAAAGCTATAATGCTTATATCCAATGTCCGACAACTAACCTTAATAAAAATTTGACTGACAAAGGAGATGAAGAACATAGAACATCTCAAGAAAAACTTCTATTGATGTCAGCTGCATGTACAGAACCGCGGGTTTCTGTAAGCAAACATCAATATCAATTTATGAAGTATACCTTTTGTAATAAGACTCAGGGGAAAAAAAGAATAATTTGCTCTGGAGAAAAGCTTCACAAATGTAAAGAGTGTGGGAAATCATTTGCTCATGTATCAAGTCTTAATGTGCATAAGAGAGTTCATACTGGAGAGAAACCTTACAGATGTAAAGAGTGTGGCAAAGCTTTTGCTCATTCCTTCAGTGTCAATGTACATCAGAGAATTCATACTGGAGAGAAACCCTACAAATGTAAAGAGTGTAGCAAAGCCTTTGCTTATTCATTCAGTCTTAATTTGCATCAGAGAATTCATTCTGGCGAAAAACCTTACAAATGTAAAGAATGTGGCAAAGCCTTTATTCAGTCTTTACACCTTAAACAACATCAGCGAATGCATACTGGAGAAAAACCCTACAGATGTAAAGAGTGTGGTAAGGCGTTTACTTATTCCTTCAGTCTTAACGTGCACCAGAGAGTTCATACTAGAGAGAAAGTATACAAATGTAAAGAATGTGGCAAACTTTTTATTCAGGCTTTGCATCTTAAACAGCATCAGAGGATGCATACTGGAGATAAACCCTACAAATGTAAAGAATGTGGCAAAACTTTTTACTTTAGTTCAGACCTTTTTCGACATCAGAAAATTCACACTGGAGAGAAACCTTACAGATGTAAAGAGTGTGGTAAATCCTTTATTAAGTCAACACAACTTAAACAGCATCAGATAATGCACACTGAAGGAAAACTTCACAAATGTGAAGAATGTGGCAAAGTGTTTGCTTGTTCCTTAGGTCTCAAAGTGCACCAGAGAATTCATACGGAAGAAAAACCCTACAAATGTAAAGAGTGTGGGAAATCTTTTACTTATTCCTTAAGACTCAGTGTACATCAGGAAATTCATACCAGAGAGAAACCCTATAAATGTAAAGAGTGTGGGAAATCTTTTGCTTATTCCTTACGTCTCATTGTGCATCAGAGGATTCATACCGGGGAGAAACCCTACAAATGTAAAGAGTGTGGGAAGTCTTTTGCTTATTCCTCAAGTCTTAATGTGCATCAGAGAATTCATACTGGAGAGAAACCCTACAAATGTAAAGAGTGTGACAAGGCCTTTGCTTATTCCTTAAGTCTCAATGTGCATCAAAGAATTCATACTGGAGAGAAACCCTACAATTGTGAAGAATGTGGCAAAGCTTTTAGCTTGATATCATACCTCACTAAACATAAACGAATTCATACTGGAGAGAAACCCTACAAGTGTAAAGAATGTGGCAAAGCCTTTTATTGTAGTTCATACCTTAGTAAACATCAGGTTATTCACACTGGAGAGAAACTTTACAAATGCAAAATATGTAACAAATCTTTTACTCGCTCTTCATATCTTAATGTGCATCAGAGAATTCATACTGGAGAGAAACCCCACAAATGTAAAGAATGTGGCAAAGCCTTTGCTCAGTCTTTTTACCTTAAACAACATCAGAGAATACATACTGGAGAGAGACCTTACAAATGTAAAGAGTGTGGCAAAGCCTTTTATTGTAGTTCAGACCTTACTCAGCATCAGAAAACTCACACAGGAGAGAAACCTTACAAATGTAAAGAGTGTGGCAAATCTTTTGCTCACTCCTCAAGTCTTAATGGGCATCAGAGGATTCATACTGGAGAGAAGCCCCACAAATGTAAACAATGTGGCAAAGCTTTTATTCAGTCTTCACAGCTTACCCAACATCAGAGAATACATACTGCTGAGAAACCCTACGAATGTAAAGAATGTGGTAAATTCTTTTCTTACTCCTCAAGTCTTAATGTGCATCAGAGAATCCATACTGGCGAGAAACCCTACAAATGTCAGCAATGTGGCAAGGCCTTTTATTGTGGTTCACACCTTACTAAGCATCAGAAACTTCATACTGAAGATAAAGCCTACAATTGTAGCTTGTCCCAAAGCCTTTTACTTTAATTCGGACATTGGTAAATGTCAGAAAATTCATACTGAAGAAAATTACCACAGACATCAAGCATATAGTAGATCATTTCTTGTGTCTTACTGTGCATCAGAGAATTCATACTGGAGTAAAACCCTACAAGTTTAAAAACTGGGAAAGCCTTTATTCAGTTTTCACACCTTAAACTTCAGAGAATGCCTACTGTGAAAAACAAACAAAAAACCCTACATATTAAATCATTTAAGTGGGGCTCAACCCTTACTTGACAGAAGATAATTTGCCCTAGAGAAATATAGATATAATAAATGTGGAAACCATTTTTCAAATACAAAATTCAGAAATCACTGTAGAATTTGTAGATAAACATTGGACTTGCAATAACTGTGAGGATGTATTTAATCAAATCTCAAGCTAAATTGGTTACTGGATTTACATGAGGAAAGACTAAAGTGCATACACTTTATTCCACAGGATAACCTAAAGTCATTGCAGTTAGATTTATTTGCTTATATGTTTTATTGGAGCAAGAACATTGATGCTTGGGCAGATGTAATTATGTTCAGTGAATATTTTATTTTTATTGACAGTATTGGAGTTTTTAGAAAGGCAAATATTGATATATTTCAACTCTCATCAGTTCAATGGCTGTGCCTTAATTTCTAGTGTTTATATAAAATGTGGTCTATTTTTCTTACAGCAAAGATATGAGAGTTTATTGCATATTAGGTGAACATTAATACTCATTTGTTAATGAAAGATTATGACAAATGTAAAATACATGAAGAAAATCTGAAGAAAAATGCTCTTTATTTGAATTAAATAAAGGAATGCATGCAAGGATATGGTATGTGCTCAGGATATTATTCTATATAAAGTAAGAGGAATACAGGAATATTTTAAACTCTTGAATTAAATCATTTTGTCAATTGCCTCTCCCCTGGGGTGGGAGAGAGGAGTGGGTAAAGGTTGAAAATCTACCTACTGGTAACAAGTCCAGCACCTGGGTGATGGCCTCAATAGAAGACCAGTTCCCACCATCTCATGATATACCTATGTAACAAACCTACACATGTATACCTTCAATCTCAAAGAAAATTTTTTAAAAAGAAAAGTACTGGTCAGTTAACTAAAATACACTCCTATCTTTATAATAGAATGGATTGATAGTCTTGAGTATTATTTGTTGTGATAGAAGATGTAGTAAAAGTAATTAGCTTCACTGTTTAAATATGAAGACAGCATAAATCTAAGATCACTATATTAAGGAGAAAAGTAATGCTTCTGGAGTGCTTGCAACTATATTGTGATCAGAGAGCACATAATGGATTTTGAAATGCATTATGTAGACTATATTTGAGCTTATTTTTTTAATTAATAAATGGCTTCTAATATTTTCACACTAGTGTGCAATGAATGAAATGTTATACTGCCACCATTGTTAAACTTTTTTGTCCTATCCAAGATTGTAGGTGACAAATGCAAATAATTTACTACTGGATAACACAGTGCAAATGACTTTTGGTAATCCCATTCTTTTGGTCCCCCTGCCCCCCAGAAAATTTAACCTCTCAGTACTTTGGAGAATATAATTCTGATTGTTGCTAGTCTATATTTGTTTTGTTTTTCTTTTTTTTGTAAGTATTGCGATATTATACTGATTAGAATAAAAATTAAATGAGTATACTAAAAAGCCATATTTTAAAATCCAGAATTACTATTTATAAAATTTATATTGAGTGGAATAGACAAATATACCAAGATTAATAAAAATTAAAATTTAGGTGTAAGAGACCTAGAGAGGAATAAATCACATGTGTGTTCCTGTCTTCACAGGAAAAAAAAAGTGAATCAAACAGAATTTTGAGTGATGATTTGTTAGAAAACTCTAAACCTCACAAATTCTCAAAGAAAAATTAGTTTTTCTACTGCACTATTAGTTTCTCATAAATCTTATGTCTCTTGGGTTAAAAAACTCTCCATACAAATCCGGTCTTTACTTGTGTATTATTTATCTGTGAATAATTATATGGTTTTCTTTTTTAAGATTTCTAAGATATTCTTTATATGTCCTGCTCAGGGATTTTTGTTATGTTTTCATAAAGTAATGGTGCTCAGATATTTGAAGGTTTGACTAGTTCAACTAGAGATTGAAATTACTTAAGTCAGTCCTAAGTTGTTGAAGCCAAAACACTTGGATTCAAAGAAATAATTCTAACAGTATTAGCTTAATTTTATAATACAACAGATTCTGACCATATATAATTACTGTTATCTCTAGTGCAGTATTGTCATTTTACAAATTTGTGCAAGACAAATTTAAATGTCTACTATTTTAAAAGTATTATCCTCTACAAATTATTATTCCATATGATATATATTACGGGTGTGTTTTAGATGAAGAGACAGGATGTCTCATGATATGCTGTTGTGTGCCACAGAAAATCTGGATGAAATATTTTTCTCACATGCACACTGCTGTTTGTGGTTACTGCAAAAATTCTGTACATGCTAGACACTTTAATGCAGACAGCTAAAGTCTTCAGAAAAATACAAGACTTACTAAAATGCTGAGTAAAGTTAAAGAGAAAATATGAGAACTTCACAAGCAGAAGTAAGCCAGGGCTACAATCCAGAGGAGAAATCACACCTAAGAAGCATATGTTTCTTTTTTTTTTTTTTTTTTTTTGAGTTGGAGTCTCACTCAGTTGCCCAGACTGGAGTGCAGTGGCCGCTCCCGGCCACCGCAGCCTCGACCTGCTGGGCTCCGACAATCCTCCTGCCTCAGCCTTCCAAGTAGTTGGAACTACAGACGCGCTACCATGCCCGGCTAATTTTTTTGATTTATTGTAGAGATGAGGTCTCGTCAAGTTGCCCGGGCAGGTTTCGAACCCGTAGACTCAGGCAATTCACTCACCTCTGCCTCCCAAAGCGCAAGATTACAGGCTGAGCCACCGAGCCCAGCCAAGAAGCACATGTTTCATTCAGACGTGGCTGGTCACAAGGATGTCAGTCCATATGGGTGTCTGCCTTGTCACAGGCTAGTGGAATAAACAGGGCTAGGTTGTGGGTTAGAATAAATTCTATCTCACATAAACACATCAGAATTATTTTTTAAATGTTTAAGTCAATACAATGACAAAAATAGAAAACCAAAATAATGGGAAAGCACAGGAAAGTACAGACTTGACAAGCCATATTTGGAAAACTACAAATAGAAGTAAAATGATTGAAAATATGATAAGTCAGCCGGGCTCAGTGGCTCAGCCTGTAATCCAGTGCCTTTGGGAGGCTGAGGTGAGTGGATTGCCTGAGCCCGCGGGTTCAAGACCTGCCTGGGCAACGAGACCTCATCTTTACAATAAATCAAAAAATCAGCCGGGCGTGGTAGCGCATGCCTGTAATTCCGGCTACTCAGAAGGCTGAGGTGGAAGGATAGCCAGAGGCCAGCAGGCGAGGCTGTGGTGGCCGGGAGCGGCCACTGCACTCCAGTCTGGGCGACCGAGTGAGACTCCAACTCAAAAATAAAAAAAGAAAATATAATAAGTCAATCTAATATATTGTGTATTGATAAAACATCAAATTTGACTGACCCAATGAAAGGCCTACAATATTGAGCACAATGAATATAGTCAAATACAGTAAATAGAGACAAAGTAATAGAAAATGCAAATATACATACATGAAAAAGTAAAATGAGAATAAAACATCTAATTGACTAGAATGTATAAAATGAATAAGGACAATTATCAAAAAACTGATAATTTATAAGTTTCTTAAATTGAAAACCAAATGTCATCTCTTAAATTCAGAAGTGTAGTAAAAAGAGAATAAAAATAGTTAAACATGGTGGGTGGGGTGACTCACACTATTAATCCAAACATGTTGGGAGCCAAGGCAGGAGGATTGCTTAAGACCAGCTTAGGTAACATAACGAGACCCTGTCTCTACAAAAATAAACAGATTAGCCAGGCATGATGGTACACATCTGTAGTCCTAGCTACTTAGGATAAAGGCAGAAGAATCACCTGAGCCCAAAAACTTGAGGCTGCAGTGAGCTATGATGGATTGTGCCGCTGCCCTCCACCCTGGGTGACAGTGAAAACCTGATTGAAAAAGGAAAACTGTAAAACTAATAAAAGTGCATCACACCACAGAGGAGGAAACCACTTACAAGTAGTGAGAGAGAGAGAGAGATCATCCACAAAGATGAGAACAAAGTCTCCACAGCTTGTACAGAGCCTGAAAACAAATGTCTTATTCCTGTTGGCAAAAATTAATACTCAAACTGGAATTAAAGAAGTAACATTTGATTAGTAAAGGTAGATAATACTTTGAAAAGTAAAAACACTGAACAATTTAATTACCAGTGGAAACCTCTTTTTTTTTTTTTTTTTGAGTTGGAGTCTCACACTGTTGCCCAGACTGGAGTGCAG